TGCTCGCAGCTCTGCTCTGTGACAGCGCCCAGCCCTCCGGGGTGGGTTTAGTGCAGGATTAGCTCCTGCGAGCCTTGGCTCTGCCTCGTCCTCCTGGAGGTTCCTCCCTGGTTTCACTAGTGGGGGGCAGGTTTCCACCCCACCAGGGCTCGCGTGGGGTGGGGGTACGGCCCCAGCTGGACGCACATCCCGCCGGTGCCTGGCACAAGCCCTGCCGCCGGTGCAAAATAGGTCAAAAAGCCAGCAGAGCTTTACCCTTGGTGCAAAACAACCTCGGAAAGCAGGGACTGCTTAGCATCCGTATTTTTCTGCTGCAAAGGGAAGGCTCCAAGCAGGCTTCCATCACCGGAGGCAGCATCCAGACGTGCCATAAAGGAACAGTCCGTGCCCTCAAGTCATTTCAGCTGGTGGCATTCAGGTGCTGGGTGCTTTGTAGTCAGGGCGTAGCATCTGGCTCCCCCACTAAACCTCCCCGTGCAGCAAGGGACTGAGTGATGCAGGTGGAGCGCGTGTGGTTGAAGAAGATGCTTTTCCTTTTTAACCGGCTGGATTGGTTTTGTGTGTGACAAGAACTAACCAGATTCAGCAGCCGAGGAAGCTTAACAACAGCCTTGTTTGCTAAAGAGAGGCCTCGGTGTGGCTTCTGCATTTGGTGTTTGTAATCGCTTTTAATGAAAACAGAAATCGTTGAGGTTTGGCTGATGTGTGCATCTTCTCCCCCAGGTTTTGGACTGATGTGCAAGCCGCCTTCCCTAGTTGTGTCTTCCCTGGGGCAGGGGGGGGGGACCTGGGACCACTTAGCTGGTGGCCTGGGTGTGCATCTTGCTGCACGTTGGGGCAGCATCAGCCTGACGCTTGTTTGAAGGTGCAATGGGATAGATACAGATTAAAAGCAAAACTCTGCTCTCTGGTTGGTGTATCAACCTCCCAGCTTTATCACGGCGTTGCTTAAGATGCGATGCACGGGGGTTAGCTTTTCCCTTCCTTTCCCGGGAACGTGCACGCACGCAGACGCGTTTGCAGTGATTTATTACACAACGCTGCTTCGGTGTTCATGCAGCGCCCAAGAAACCTTCCCCCTCCCGGTTTTGCAGCCGTGCAGAATAAGCTCCCCGGGGCCGAGCAGAGGGAGGGCTCTGCGTTACAGCTCTCCCCGGCAGCGTGTAAAGGTCTGGGAAACGCCGAGCCCGGTCCCTTTGAACGGCGGGCTGGCGGCCCCCAGAGCGGTGCCGCAGCGCAGGCTCAGAGCCGACGTCCTCTGAGCTTGGCTGCAGCCACGGGATATCTCTGAAGGACGGGATGCCCTTGAGAGGCTCTGGTGGGCAGGGTTTCCAGCAGCGAGGCGTGGGTGAGCACCGTCCCACTCCTTCCTCCCATCCTCCCCTCTACCCCAAAAGAAAATCACCCATCTAGGTGGAGATTTCTGGAGGGGAGGGGGCCACAGGGTAGCAGCCCCCCCCCAGCTGCAATTGTGGGGGATGCTTGGCTCCCTCTGCCCTCGCCGGTGCAGCCTTGCGGGGTCCCAGCTCCGGCCCCACGACGGTCCCATCCGGCGCTGGGCTGCTCTGCCTCTCCAGCCCTGAACAAATTAAAGTGGGACTTTAGCAAAGCCCCTGCTAAAGCCTCTAAGCAGGTGCCTGCTCCTGTTAACGAAGAGTAAATCGGTGACATAAGACAGACGGCTAGGATAATCGTGGCGAGTCTGGCTCCAGCGGGGACGCTGGTAGGTGAAGCTGGTCCTCGACCTACGGCCAAGGATATAGCTTTAGCAATGCTCCTGAATCCCTGGGGACAGCTCCTCCTCCTTCCCAGCAGCTCCCGGAGGTGCCAGGATGGATCCCAGTGTCACCCAGGGGCTGCGTGGAGCAAAACGAACCTTTCCCAGATGCTCAGCCACTGGCAGCAGCGCCAGCCCGAACTGGTGATCCACTGCCGGCTCTTTGGGAGGGCTCTTCCCATCCCACCGGATGAGGAACGGCCTCATAAAATCCCTGCAGGCTGCTTGGCCTCTGCGGTGGGTTGAAAGGCAGCACCGAACTCAGCCGCTCTCGGTGCTGGCCGGGGCAGGCCACCATGCTGCTGCCCGCCTTGATGCTTCGGGGTGTTTCCAGCCACCTCTCTGCAGGCTGCCCTGAAAACACAGGGGGTAAATAAATACGGCCTGAAAATGAGACCAAAGCAACTAGTTGCAAAGCTTTGATGTGTCCGGGTGGACAGCCGATTGCTCTTCCTGGTCTTCCCCGGTAGGGTCCGGGCTCTGGTGCATCCCTTCGAGATGCCAGCATGGGCAGGGTGCAAGCACAGCAGTGCAGGTCAGCAGTGAACTGGGGGCTTGGGGGGCCTTGGACTGTTCCCCCTTTTTCAGCAGCGGGTTGTTGCTGTTGCTGTGATGCAGGATCAGGCCCGCTCTTCCTCAGAGCCTGCAAAGCAAGGAACTTCACCCCTGCTCCTTGCCCGACGGCGCCTGCTCCCCTTTACCCCCTGCTCTCTGTTCAGTCCGCAGTGCCCGCTCCGAACTTCGCCATGCCCGTGACGGTGCCGGTGACCAACCAAAACACGCTGCAATTCAGCAACCCGGGCAGCTCGCTGGTGACCCAGTCCCTGGTGACCTCCTCGTTGACGGACCCCCGGCTCCTCTCGCCGCAGCAGCCGGCACTGCAGAGAAACACCGTGTCCCCGGGGCTGCCACAGAGGCCGGCCAGCGCAGGTGAGCGATGCCATGACCCTTCGCATCCCCCTACTCCTCATCCTCCCTGCAAGAGCTTTGCTGGGTGTGCAGCACCGAGCACGGGGCATCCCGGGAGGCGGGAGACACCCCTGCTGCCTCCATCCCCTGCCTGGGGGCAGGACACGTCCCTGCATCTGTGGGTGGCAGGAGCAGCCTGGAAGGGTTGTTGCCCATGGGTGCTTGTTCCTGCCCTCCTGCCAGAGGTTGATGCCCCCAGTTTGTGCCTTGGCCTCAAATTGGGGAGGCCCCCCCCCCCCCCCCAACCTTACCAAGGTCTTTTCGAGAGCCGGATCCCTGCAGGGCTCTGTTTCGAGGTTGGGCAGCGCAAGGAGATGAGTCACCTGGCGCTGTTCCCAGGCTTGGGGGTGGCTGCCGGCATCCCGCTCGCCGGTGGCACTCCGGTGACACGGGACTGCTGCCTAAAAAGGGCTTTTCTGAGTCGGGCTGTGCTGGCTGCAGTTGGTCGCCGAGCTATTACTCATGCAGATCTGCTGACAGATCGGAGGGAGCAGTCGTTTCCAGCGGGGACCGGCGATGGGTGGCAGAGGGCAGGTTGGGGGAGAGGAGCTTGTCACCCATGTCCCTTGCAGTGGTGGTGGGGGAACGACGATGTGTGACCACAGCCCGGCTCTCCTGCAGTGCAATCATAAATAATAATAGCGTGCAGAAAGCCTCTGCCTGCTATTTTGGTTGTCACAGATGGTCTGTAAAAATCGCACAGGCTGCAAATGGCAGAGCCGGTGACTGTTGCCGCCCGGAGATCTGGGCGGTGGGCACTCGGCTGCAGCCCCCAGGGCTGTGAGAGCTCAGGGTGGACTTTGCAAAGGGGCTGGGGGGGTGGGAGAAGGGCTGGGAGGTGCCTCCAGAAGCAGGTTGGGTGGCTGGGTCAGAGCGAGCAGGAAGAGGTGCCTGGGCTGGGATGCAAAAGGAGCCGTGGTTCGAAGCCAGCTTGTTTGCTTACTGCTCGCTCCGCATGGTCTTGGGGATGGCTCAAAGTGCTCAGATAGCAGGACAAGGCCCCCAGACCTCAGGGAGAGGGGCCTTTCTGCTCTAGGACTGGTCCAAAGTGCAACATCTCACCCCAGGCTGGGCGGCAGAGCCCTCCTCGGGCACGGACAGCCGTAGCTCCAGCTGCAGGGATCTCCCCTGCCCTCTCGCAGGCCCCTCTGCCGAAAAAAAAAAAAAAGAGACTTCGCTGTAATGCAGAATCCGCTGGAGGCTCGCCGTTTCCATCTCGCTCGCTCGCCGTTCGTTTGAAGGGGGATAATTTCGCGGTTGCGAGTGCAGAGGTGTTCCAAGTCCGGCCATCTGCGTCTCATTCCTTCGCTGTATGCAGAATCCGCTGGAGGCTCGCCGTTTCCATCTCGCTCGCTCGCCGTTCGTTTGAAGGGGGATAATTTCGCGGTTGCGAGTGCAGAGGTGTTCCAAGTCCGGCCATCTGCGTCTCATTCACTCGCTGCCTGGGACACGGAAGAAATCCTGTTTATAGGAGCCAGGCCCTTGCATGTTAGAAGAACCTTTTTTTTTTTCCTTAATTTTTTTTTTTTTTTAGCGGTGCACTCGAGCTGAGAGCAGAGCGCTGCAGAGTTGTTTCCAAAGCAAACGCGCAGCAGAGCGTTGGGTCGGTATCTCGGTGCTGGCTGATGCCGTCTGCTCGGGGATCTCGCGGGAGAAGGGCGGCCAAGGGGGTTTACGGGGCTGGGGACAAGGTCGGCATCACTCACCCAAGGAGATGAGCCCGTTTCGGCAGCGCTGGGGTCTGGGGTGCAAGTGGGGTCTGGCAGCAGGGCACAGGCAGGGTCCCTCCTCCGGGACTTTGCATCCCCATCCCTTGAAGAGAGGATGCTGCGGTGCCGCGGCTGCCATGTTTTGGGGTCACCTTGCCCTTTTTCAAGCTGTAAAATATTTTTGGGACCACCGCCATCCCCGATCATGCTCCCACGTGGGGAGCAAACGCGCTTCCCTGCATGGCAGCGGCTCAGCCCTCCAGCACTCCTCCCGCTTTCAGGGGCTCGCTGCAATCCCAGACCCAGAGCTGGGGGCTGGAAAAAAGGTTTCTGTCTCACGTTTCCCCATCTGGGGTGAGAAGGGTTGGGCAGTGGTTAGAGGTGGGGTTTGGGATCGGAGGCTCCTCGTTCCCCTGCCCAAGGCTCCGGGATGACTGTGGTTGCAGCTCCAGAGCCTCCGTGCCAGCTGTTGGCCGAAATCACCGCCCGCGGCATGGCCAGGCAGCCCCGGGCTGTGAATAGGTGGCTTTCAGAAATAACTCAATAACAAGGCAGAAAAAAATAAAATCTGTTTGCAGGCGAGGCAAAACGTTCAGTTTATTGGGGATAAAAAGGCCTCTGGTACGGTTTTTCCCGGCACAGCGGGGAGCGGCGGCGCTTTCCAAGCGTTGGGACCATGGGAGGCCGAATTGTAGCAGCGTCCTGGCAGTGCGCGGGGATGGTTTCCATTCGGTGCGAACATTACAGGGCAGATAGTGTTTCACGTCTTGCTGCTGGGGCTCTCTTCCCTGGCAGCACCGGCCCCGTGTCCCCCAAAGGGGGGCTTGGAATAAAATAGCCGCAGTGTTTTCCAAGCCACCTCCTTTGGAGCGGGATCCTGTGCTGCCTGGCTCCTGCCCAAAGGAAACGGATCTGCCTGGATAATGTTTCCCAACCTGATCAACAGGAATGCTGCTCATTTTGCCCAGGACTTTCTCCCTGGGAAGGCAACGCCGCTCATTTTCCTCTGCCTTCCTCCCTTATGCTCCCCCTCTTCCTCCCCCCCAAAAGGAGGGATGCTCACCCTGTTTCCGAGCGGACAGTGACCCCGTGTTTCCAATTGCTTTGCAGGGGCGATGCTCGGGGGAGACCTGAACAACACGAATGGAGCCTGCCCGAGCCCCGTGGGTAAGTGAGGAGCTGCTGCCTTTCGGCAAGTGGTGTGGGCGCCGGGGCCTGCGCCCTTGGCTCTGTTTGCCCCTCCTTAACTTTGGTTTCCCCACGCATAACATAGGATTTTGCTTTGCCATCGGTCGATGGAAAAGCGCTAGGGAAGATTTTTGCTGCCGTTGGCAGCGGGAGGGTTTGGCACGTGGAGCTCCAGGCCAGTGCCTTTGCTGGGGGCTGCTGGTTTCAGTGGAGACCCCAGAGACGGAGGCAGGAGAGGGGTGCGTGTCCTGGGGGCCAGCATCTCCCCTGGGTCTTGGGTCTTCGGAAGAGCCGCAAATCAAGGGGCCGACTGAGATGGCCACTGAGGACCATGATTTGGGCAGCTCTGGGTTTAGGTCCCCGTGCTGCAACCAGTTCCTCCCCTGACCTCGGGTGAGTCACTTAACACCTGATTCCTCGTTGCGCTTGGGCCCTATAAAGGAACTTTACTGCAAGGAAAAAAGCTCATTAAGGTCCCTTTCCACTGCGAGAGCCTCAGTGCTAACGAGTCTCAGACCTTGTGGCTTAGCTCCCCAGCTATAAAATGCGGGTTTAGGTCCCCGTGCTGCAACCAGTTCCTCCCCTGACCTCGGGTGAGTCACTTAACACCTGATTCCTCGTTGCGCTTGGGCCCTATAAAGGAACTTTACTGCAAGGAAAAAAGCTCATTAAGGTCCCTTTCCACTGCGAGAGCCTCAGTGCTAACGAGTCTCAGACCTTGTGGCTTAGCTCCCCAGCTATAAAATGCGCTAATAATACCTCCATCCCTGCGGTCTGCCTCTGCTGTCTGCAGGGTGAGGTCTTTGGGGCCGGCGCTTGCGTAGGTACAACCCAAAAGCCAGCGACGGCTCCAGGGTCCCACTGGGAAGCAGCTGCCGCTACCGGCACCGCTGCTGCAGGCTGGGGCAGGGCGGGCTGCAGTCCAGGGCTTAGCGGGGTGGATGCCGTCCATCCCCAGGCGAGGCGGAGCGGGGAAGGCAGCCTTGCACCAGGAGCCTGGCTGATCACCCCCTTGGGGGCTTTTTGTGGTGGGGCTCCAGCCGACAGCACGGAGGAGGAGTGTGGAATTTGGCGTTGCCCCAATTAAAACTAAATTAAAACCACCGGTTGCGCGGACGGGGCTGGTCCAGACACGGTTCTGCAGCAACAC